ACTATTCACATTACATTTTTTATACGCAGGTTAAATCTATCGTGGCACAAGTCCTCGTGTTGATAGTGGTGTTGTCGAAGTTTACTAAGACTTATTTTCAAAAATGTAACGTTACCTTCTGATAGTTCCACATGTTTCATCTCTGAAAACAAAATCTTTCAGTGTTTCTTCTCTGAAAACAAAATCTTTCATTTTAAGACCCAATTGCCTATACCAGTTATGAGGATTTAAAAGGTGAATGGGAAGTTTGACTCTCTAAAATTATTCTTCCTCACTCTTGGTATACTGATTTAAACAATACAGTTTTACTATTATACAGGTGATGAAAAATTTATCAAAAAGAGTATAGATGAGGGGTATTATGACTCTGTTTAGGAAATTATTCCAGCTGTACAGGTAGAATTACCGAAACATCCTAGTTGGTTTACTTTATCTTACAGTAAAAATACCAAACAATTAAAAATCAATGCCATTCAAGACAAGACTTTACATTGGAAAAATTTAAGTAATCCATTAGGATTTCTATCTAATATTCTAATACAAGGAAGTATGAAAAATCTATTCCTCAAGCCAGATCTACTTTTTTGGTTTTCTACATGAACATGTACACAGATTTTATCCGAATTGTAGGAGAGACATAAGCTCCTTTACTGCGGATCATTCAAATAAAATTACAAAAAGGGAAACAATCAGTATTATGGTAGACCTCGATATCTTTAATGAGGAATTCATTTTAAACGATTCAAGCTGAACTCAGAATGAAATCAGCTGATTTTGTTCCCCTTTAAAATTGTAAAGTAATGGTTGTACTGCATCTCCGAATGTGACGAACAATATAAATACCCAATCTTTTTCACAAATTATTCATTAAAAGTTTAACTATCAAGATGGAAGCACCTTATATTTTCTGCTCCAAGAATTAGGAGGATCATTATGCTTCCCAAATGTTAAATGATTTACTTTATTATCGAGTAGTATCGTATAAAAAAGGTTACGGATTAGGAAGTATTTTTAGACAAATATTTAGAGCAGCTTTACCATACCTAATTCTAGGGTAAAAAACAATTGAGAATGAAAAGTTAATCACTGCACCATGTGTTATGACGGATGTATCAGCAAGTTAAGGTTCAAAAGCATAAGCTAAAAATAGAAGAAAAGAATCGAATAAGTACTAACCAATAAAGCACTTAGAAAAACACAGACAATGGTCAGCAGCAGATGGTCTAAAGGAAAGCGCAAAACTGAGAAAAAATATTTCAAAGAAACAGAAAGTGAGAAGCCTTGTTAGTTTTGATCCGTAATGGCTTTCCTTTTAAGGAACTCCCTGGAATGTGTGAAATCTGAATTAGAATTGCTTCAGATGCCTGACACACAAACAGTTATACAAAGCAGACAGTGTATATAATTTCACCCGTTGTTAAAAGTGTATGATGTTGGACATGTAGAATTTAATATGCCTGGTTCCGACTATGATTTCATTGATTTAACCCTGACTTAACTTCATGTTAATTAGACTCAACTTCATAAAAAAAGATAACAATTTTTCAAAATATGCTTGGAGAGTAGGAAGTTTACATATTGTTAAAAACTTTGATAATAAAAACAAAGAAAAAAATCAATTTGCTTTCTCAATATTCCAGAGCAAATGAGCATGTGTGTTAAAAAAATCAAAATATATTGAAAAAGTAGTAATTTATTTAATTTAAGGTTCCACGCTTAAGCTAAAGGAATGCAAACTAATAAATACACAAATTGAGACAAGTTTTTTTTTTTTTTTTTTTTTAAAAATACATGTCTCATATAAATGATTCTCTCCCCTTCATATAAATAATAACAAATAATGAGAATCAAAAAAAAAATTTATAAGTTGAGATCAGACAATTATTGGCGACCACTTGAGTTTTACTTAATCTAAAAAATCTGCCTAAATTGCAGCATAAAAGAACTAAAATCAATATGTAGATTGAAAATAATTTATTATTCATAGTTATTACCCCTAATATAAACCAAATAGTTATAATATAGCAAAAGTATTAGGAGTACCATGCCTTTAGAAAAAATCAAATTTATAGTTTGAATGATTTTGGCTGTATTTTTCATATATGATACATAATATAAATCAATCAAATATTGTGCATGATTTAATATCTAATAAAATGTCCTCAATGACAAAAAAGAAACTTGCCTACGTTTTTGACGTCAAAAACCCAACCCTGTATGAACCTCCCCCACTATACTCAGTGTTATTTCTCTTTTCTCTCTATTTCAAGAGAAGAGGGATCTAAGCTTATGACTACAAAATAAAAGAATTTATTTTTAAAGGATCTTTTTTTTTAAACACTTTGTATTAAAACACTTTTCACTCTTAAAAAAAAAAATAAGAATGTTTTTTAAAACTTCTTAATTTTGAAAAAATGTGTATCCCTCAATAGGGGGTTCCCTTGCAGGGCCTAGGGACCATGCCAAGATGTAGTTACAGCCTTGTTCCTAACTTACTGACTCTGCAAAACAACATATCACATGCGCATTCCATTGGACATGTTAAGTACAGTAACGCTTCACTTGCAATGTGTTATCAATAAGTTCATTATATCCATGTCAAACTATTTAATTGAGAGAACTGCCACACATGCTTTGAGCTTAAGAGTGAGCCATGTAAAACTATCGTAAACTGAATGTTCCTTTTTCTGGTTGTAAAACATTTTCGTGATTGAAATTGTGTAAATTTTTAGCCATGTTCAATAAAGAAAAGTTTAGTGCACATTTCCTTTCAGATTTCTCGTTCGATGTTCATTTCAATCCTTTTCAAAGCAGACACAGGGAACAGATTTTACTTTAACTTTTTGAAGCCAGGGTATTATTAGCTTAAATAGGTAATGTTGAAAAATATTATAACAACTAGAGATGGAATGAAGCTTCAAGCACTTTGACGAGGTTTTGGCCTGGCCAAATAGAGCTTTGTTTTTCTTATAAATTTCTATTTAATTTTATTATAAAGTTTAAATTTAAAAGATTGCGAATATTAATATTGACCAGGGTTGCAAAAAACCCACCTGTCCAATAAAACCCGCCCGGGTTTTACTGGGTAAAACCCACTCGGAAAAACTCAGTAAAACCCACCCTAAAGTGGGTTTTTCTAAGATTGGTTTATTTTTATCCTCTGTTATATTTAAGAGAACTATTGAAATATATATGTAGTCTAGCCTAAAAAAAATTAACCTATAGTGAAGAAACTAATTGTGTTGGAGACTGGAGAGTCATCTTTCTGGCTAGATTTGACTATATGGCCATTGATTCGCTTTCTATGCAAATTAAAAAATTTCCTCAAATATTTAAGAATAAAATATAAATAAAAAGTAATCCTGTGTTAAAATAAGTTTCAAATGTGTGATGTATGTGAGTACACATAACATTCTGTATCGTGATGTCAGAAGAAACTTTTTTCAGACTTTCATATCAATTTATTTGTATTAATTATCTATATGAAGTCAATTTATAAAATTAAACTATATTATATTGATAAGCTTTTTTAAAATGAAGAACCTATCCCTGCCTTCTCTTTTGAAAACCCTCCATAAAAACATGAAAAACCCAGAAAAGCCCAATAAAACCCACCCAGGATGGGTTTTTCTACAAAAACCCGGGTTTCTTGCAACCCTGATATTGACCTCTTGGAACCAGAAACCAATCAATAATTAATAATACATTCTATTTAATTTGAAAGTTGCTAAGAAATAAGTCACCCCACATTAATAATACCTTACATAATAAATAAGCAATACCTTACATAATAATACCTTACATAATAAAAAGTAGCCAATATAGTAGTTTACTCACCTGTCGTACTTTTCAGTTCACTGAGAAAAATTTTACTTAATGCAGAAATTTTTTTTCATAAATTTATTCTAAGCACAAGACTCTAAGAATTGGGTTAGACGCTTTCAGTCATCGCAAACAGATACCAATATGAAATATTCTTCTGATTCATATTCGTGCTAAGATAACTTCGAGATGTACCAGATAGGTAGGATCATACGATAATGACTAATCAATATTACTTATTTAGTAGGTATTTAACTCTATGAAAGGCTATGGCTTTCAAAGCTAACCACAAATTAATTAAAATAATGTTAAAATTCATTTAAATAAATTGTTATACTAGAGACAAACTATAAAAAAATTGACAGTCTTAGTCTTTTACTTTTAAAAAAATTTATTGTTTTTCAAAGAGTTAATGGACATTAACATTAAAAAGGGTTAGTACAAGGAGTTTAGTTGTTTATAAAAGACATAACAATAAACAGATAAATGTGGAAAAACAATTTTGAGGAAACTTATTACATGAAAATAAAACAATGCCTAGTTTATTAAAATTTGAGTGAGAATGGGAAAAGCAAAATACTATTAGTGTCATTATCAGAAATTTTTTATTTGTTTAAAAGGAAAGTAAGAGCTGTGATGGCTCAGGGGATAGAGCGTTTGCCTTCCAATTATGTAAACTGGGTTCTAATTCCAGCAATCGCCGGTTGATACAAATTCCCACTGGCTTGCACCTGCCACAGTGCTGACGATAAATATTGTTAGTGGTAGATGGACCATGGGTTAGAGCCCATTTGCTGTCGGGCTAACCGAGGGAGTTTCTCGCGGTCTTCATCTCCATGTAACGCAAATGCGGGTTAGTTCATCAAAAAGTCCTCCACTAAGGCAAATATTGGCAAATACTTGATCCAGAAGTTCCCTTGTCTTCTGGATTGGGTTCAAAATTACAAGGTTACGAAATTGAACATTAGTAGTCAAGCCCAAAAATTAGGTCAGCTGTTCAATGACAGTTATAAAATATGAAATAAAAAATGAGAGTATCCAAAACAGTTGATTAAAAAAAAAAAATCAAATATAATGACAAAATTCTCATGTACTTTTAAGACAAAAGAATGACATTTTTCAAAATGATGATGAGAGTTTTACAATAAATTCTTTGGCAGTCATGGTCGTTTTTTTTAAAAATAACCTGAGAGTCTGAGCAGAATTCACTTAATAGATGTCAACATTTCACTGTTTACTGTTACATATACTGGTTACTGACAAACACCCTTCAAGACATGCAAACAAACACAAACATTAATCAAACATTAACAAACATTAAAAATTAATCCTAAACAATTCAATGACATATTCATAGAAATTATTAAACTAGAGGAGGTAAGCACATTTTAAGTATCATGGAAATATAATTAATAACGAAGGAGAAACTGATAAAGATCGCAAACAGATACCAATTTATTTATATTTAGTATACATACTAAATAGATTAAACAAAGCGTGAAATAATAAATTCCTAATAAGGTAATAATAATAACCTTAATAAATTTTGGAAAAACAAAAACATAACAAATATTACACTTCTCAACACTAATGTTTAATCTGTCCTACTATATGGATTTGAGACATGTCATTGCAACAAAAAAAAACCTGAAAAAAGTATTTTTTAACAACAATTTAAGAATCTTGCATATCAAGTGGTTCTATAAAATTTGTAATGCAAAAACAGAAACTAGGGATGTAAGGAATAGTGATTTGACTGAATAGTCAAATAACATTTTTTTTTAAAAATCATTCATAAGTATTTTTTATATAGAAATTAGTTCAGTCATTATTGAAAAGTAATAAAAATTTAGCTCTATTATTGCTTTAGTGTAAAAGCAAAAAACTCTGGTCGAAAAGTTAGGCATTAATAAAAATAAATGTAACATAACTAAAATAAATATTTAGAAATATTTAAGATTAAAAAAAAGGCGGTACTTAGGGATTATCCAGTCAACCAATTTTTGCTAAATCCTATATTATCGCCAAAGGAAGCTCCTATGCCAATAACTGCAAATTTAATCTTTTTGTTATTGTTATTTCATTATTATTCGATAAATTTAATAAGTTCAGAATATTTATTTTGGAAACAGCTTTTCATTAAGATAGAGCCAAAGAATTTGCGCATTTTTGCGAGCGTTGACAGGTAATCCCAAAGAACAAGAAAAAGTAATAAAAAAATAACGGTTACATTTTTTAAAAAAACAAAAAAAGTCGTAAAGTCGAAAAAATCTATATAAAAAATACCCTCTTAATTTTTAAAACAAATCCTTAATGGTAAAAATAATACATTCCGTAAAAAAATTATCCAGATAACATTAAAAGAGATGTCTAACAGAAATGCTTTTAAAAAATACAGCGATAGCATAAAAACGTCTGTAAAAAATCAAAGATACAAAAGCAAAACAGAAACAGTAAAAATCTATCTTAATTTTTGAAAGAAAAACAAACTTTCACAACGAACTTTCACTTTGAAGCTACACATTTTAATTTTCCAATTACTCTATTTCCAACAACAACAGAAAAGGTGAAGATTTAAGTCTAACAGAAACCCTCTCTTAATAGCCACGTCATAATAAAAACCTTTATAAAAAAAAAATTTCAAAAAGAAAAAGCTAAATAGAAAGCTAAACAAAAATTGTTTTTACTTCTTAAACAAAAGATTTAATGCTATAAATCTTAATACAACTTTTTCACATCGTAGTTTTTTAAGAAAAAGTGACCATAAAAAAATAACGCTCCTATAAATGCTTTTTAAAGAATGTTGTCATAATAAGAACACTTATAAAAAGAAAGATTAATAAAAAAATTCAAATGAGAAACAAAAAAAATTATTCTAGTTTTGAAATATAGCTTTAACATTGAGAATCAAAGTTTCCCATACTACTAGTTATTAGGGATGTAACGAATATTCGGCCACTATTCGGTATTCGACCCTTTTGCTGAATATTCGGCCTAGCCGAATACTTAAGTTATTCGGCTGAATATGAATATTATTAGATATTTGGCTGAAAAAATTCATAATAATAAAGAAAGATATTTTTTAAATATACTTTTAAATACATTTAATCACAAATATTGCAGAGTTACATTTCACTGCATTAATTATTCGAAAATCTAACATTTACTCAATTTAAGTTGTACAATACATAAGTGTATTTAATAATGTTACATAAATAAAAACTTTTTCTTCTTGCAAATTTATCATCATATGTATTTAAACAAGCATTGGAATCTTTTACATTAAATACAAATATATATAGTTTGTTAAATAGAAGTGTGAATACTATCTGAATCGGCAATTAAAATGTATTTGTGATTCCCTTAATAATATCTATTTATAAATAATATGCACTAGAAATATATGATTATATAATTATTTATTATAAATGTAAAACATTAATTATCCATTTAATGGATGTCTTGATACTTAGAGAAACAAGCTACTTAACAAGCTTAATTTTCTGGGTTTTAATAATTTTTCTGACAAAAAAGAAAGTTAAGAATACATTTAACAGTAGTAATGAGCTCTTATTTTAAATAAAATAGCACATAAATTACAAGTATAACTATAATTAAAAGATGCTATTAATTATTTAGATTTATAAAAGCCATATTGCCTTGTTATTGGCATCAAGATATTTAAATTATTACAAAAATTAAATCAAGTTGTTACAATTTTTTTAAATATACAAAGATTAAAAAACAAATTTGTTAATATTTATTTCATTTTTAATTTAAAATTTGAAAATTACTTTAATTACAAAATTACAATCAAAAGAGAAATATTTAAAAAGTAAGTATTCGGCCACCGAATATTCGGTATTCGACCTAAAATGTGGCCGAATATTCGGTATTCGGCCACATCACTACTAGTTAGCTGTCTTACCGTACAAGAAAATAGTGAGAATAAAATAATCAAGTCTATAAGAAATGCTTCGTTCACATGCTTTGTTTCAGTTAAAGCAGAAAAACAAGCAAAAAGATTTTTAAAACGAAGAGTTGAAAAACAGGTGAAATTGACTAGTATGAACAAAATTAAAAAGGGGAAAAAAATCAGCATTTCAAAACTCATGATTCAGTACAAAGTAATCTAATTTCAATTCCTCAAATTTCGCGTTTCCAAATATTTTCAGGACATAAACTAACAAGTTTCAGAGCTTAACAAATATACGTAAAAACTATTTCTAATAATGTATAGTAAAAAATACAATTCCAGCTTTTAGTAAATCTGTGGGGAGATTTTATTATAGACTATGTCAACCTTCATCTATCAAAAGGTACCTCGTGATGGATTCAAGTTAACATGTCTTATATACTATTGATTTGGTATTTAATATTTGTAGTGGTAGTTACGCCACAAAAATATAAAGACTTTCCCTGTAAAATCTCAGTCAAAAAAAAATTTTTCAAGAATACTTTGAGGAATAGTCGGATGAATATCTCGCCGAATATTCGGCCAACCAAATATGCCACAAAGGGGCTGAATACTCGTTACATTCCTAATAGAAACAGATTGATCGAGAAATTAAAAAACGTAAATAAACTGGTCATGTTCGTAAGCCTGAAAATTTTAAAGTAAAACGAATTTTTGATTGGAACCCTCAGGGCTCCAATCATAAAGACAAAACCTAAAAATACTTGGTGCAGGACTATTGTAAACAATAGGAAAGGCATGGAGAGAGATATGGTTACAAATAGAATGAGATAGGAAGCTATGATAGAAGCCCAATGCTCCATTTGGGAGTGAAAAGGAATATGTATGCATGTAACATTTCACAAACTATAAAATTTCTTCTTAATAATAATAATAAAAGTCTATAATGGTGTCCTCAATAAGATTTGTACGATAGGCTTCATGCATCTCAATACTACACAGTTTAGTTTTTAAATTCACACGACAAGTTTGCCTTAGATTTTTTATTCTAATGCTCCCTTCACCTGAATCTGATGAATTGCTTTCATGTACATGATGAGCATAGTATGGAGCCCTGTAACTGCAGCTCCAGAATTCCACTCAATAGAAATAATTATAGTTACTATGGGGAGATTTCCGTATCATGATCTGTGGCAGAATAATCGCTAAGTTTTGGAAATTTCCGGGTAGTGGCCCACGAGAAACTAAAACAATATCACAGAAAGGGACCAACATGAAAAGTATAACTCGTAGCCACCCCTGGACAAACATCTACAAGTTTTTTTTAAAAAATTTGAAAGTTTAAAATCTATTTGGCATCTTGGCGATTGTAGTTGGCAAGACAGATCACAATACGGAAATATCCCCGCTACTTTTTTCACAGTCTAAATATTTTTAAGGGATATTTCCTAAATGTGATCTATCACATCAACTACAATCGCTAAGGTGCCAAATAGATTTTAAACTTGCAAATGTTTAAAAAAGATGTTTTCCGGGGTGGCTACAAGTTATTCTCTGCCACAGATCACGAAATGGAAGTCTCCCCAATTTTTAGAGCTAGATTAGTAAAATCAGAAATTATAAAAATTAATCAATTTCAAAAATTTAATGTATAAGCAAGTCCCAATTGTGAACGGTGAGTAAAATTAAAAAATCTTTTAATGAAATCTGTAAAGTATTGATATTGGGAGGTCTTGGGCAAATGCCACCTCTGACCAAGTGAGAATTAGGTTCTGATATTGGAAAATAAAACTAGTTCCCTTTGAATAGCAAATTGTTTTGCCAAAACATAACTTAAGGTCTCTAATATTTTCGATAAACATTCAAACAATAAATATGGAACTTATAATATTACAACTACAGCAAAATGTTAATTTTACCAATAATGACTGAATTTTTAATGGTAGGAAATAAAACCGGTAGCTTTAAACACCAAATAATTCTATACCAAAACTGCGATTATTAATATGACAAACATATAAAAAAAAAAAATTTGTTGTAACTCTAGAGAAATGTTTCTCTTACCTGATGTAATGCTGTTAGACCATCAACATTGGCTGTATTAATGTCTGTTCCAAGTTTTAAAAGGCGTTCGACTTCTTCCGTATCACTAGCAGCACATGCAGCAAGAAATACACAACCATCACTAAACTTTATTGTATTTTTTTTATCCTTAGGAATGGTAGGAGATACTTGGTTAGTTTCGGAGTCTTCCCATCGTTTCAACTGTTCCGCTCTCCGAAATAGAGCACTATTTGTTCGCGTTTCTATAGGCATAGCTTATAAACAAAATCTATCAATACAAGACACTAACAACATTGATTAAGGTATCATATCACTCACGGCTATGACAGCCAAAGTCAGCGATACAGAATAAATTTAGTTACGGAATAGGCCACCAGAGTCAAATTCGGCTGAAATTATGAAAAACTGTAGTTTCGTTTCCAAGGCAAAGTTTTGAATATAGAGCAATAGCACGGCTATAAACTAACTTGGAGTAAAGTAAAATCAAAGTGGTTAAACGTAAAAGGTCTAACCTAGGTAGCGCTTTACATTATCCAATGGATTGTGTTTTCTGCAGTAGTAAGACTGCAAGTTCTTGACCGCCTATATTTCCGGTTTGCGTAGAAACAGACCATGGAGATTTCCAATCCCTGATAGACCCAATCCCTGATAGGGTCTATCAGGGATTGGAAACAGTTGGCGAAAATTTCTATTGGTGTTAAGGGAGCGTTCTCAGCAATCGCCAAACAACTGTGCGCTCATGTTTTTGTTTTGCTTTCGGTATAGTGTATCTATCATTCACCAAGTTAGATATGGATGAGACATTTCATAGTTTCAATGAAGCGGATCTTCCTAAAAATTTCTCGAATGTTATTACGAAAAATGATGGAAAAATAATAGAAATCCGCTCTTTTATCAAGCCATATGATATCCAAGCTTGGATTGATTCATTCAGCGCTAATAAGGTATTCATATTATTTTCGTCTTCTTTTTATTAAGACATTTTGTAACGATACTGTTTTTATGAGAACAAATATTATGAGTAATATTTTTATAATAGCAAAGTTAAAAACATTTCAATTTTATTTTATAAATATTTTAAGACGAAAATGATCTCTCTTTTTTTTTCATATCTTAGACTATTTTTTTAAATTTACGGATAGTGAAAAAATTGAAACAAGCAATATTAAGTCGTTTGATTTTAATAATTTACTGTAAATTCTAAAGGTATTTAACATTGGAAATTCTTAGAGAATTATTTTAATATTTTAGGCTCAATGAAAATGCCATAAGAAATTTGGCACGCCACGAATAATTTTAAACATGATCAAGAATAGAACTGATGGAGTTAAAACTCGAAGCGCATGGGTGCCCACATTTATAAAACCTCCAGAGGTAAAATTAAAGACCAACCATCTTCAATAAGCCGAAGAAGAGTTGGTGCTACCAGAGGCAGCAAGAGCATACCCTCTGGGCGTCCACCAGTTCATGAGAAACACTCAATGTAAAGAAAGAAATAAGGCTGAAAATGTGCGAAAAAATCAGGGCAGCGCAACATCGGATTAGAAAGTTTTTATTATATATCACTATATTTTGTTTTTTTTAATGCAGTACTTTTTTTAATTATGTTTTTAATTACTTAATTCATTTAACGGTATTTAAGAGTCTATAAATATAAGTTACGTGTGATCGTTACAGAAGGATCTGTACGCGATATATGTCAATAAAATATATTTTTAAAATTGTGCATTATCTATTACTTTCATTTATTATTCTAATATTGAAAGAGTATCAAGGTATCTATGACCTCCATAATAAATGAAGGCACTTTTATGTATATTAAGGATATGGTAAGTTAAAATCCGAAATGAAACTTGGAACGTCAGCTCATGCGCGCATCCATTGGATAACCTCTCCTAAATACCTCAGTTCCGCAGTGGACTGATCGTTAAGACACGGTTCCCAGCAGATCACCGAAGTCAAGCATCACTGGCTGCGGTCAGTGTACGGGTGGGTGACCACTTGGATCAGTCTGCGTAGGGACCGAGTGTGCGCGATATTGGTCCTCGTTAAACTGTTCTATCGTAAAGTGCTCGACTTCGCGTGCAGGTCGTCGGGCTACCGAAGCGGGGACGCCATCCCCTCTGAAGAGGATCAAAATTTTGATGGCATGTATTCGGATCATCCTCAGGGATGTTTCCCAGACCGTCGCCAATAGCCCATTGTGCAGCTCTAGTGCGACGTAATAGAATAACAACAATCCTAAATACTTCTATATTAGTTGGCCTTAAAAAGATTAATTTAAGCTTTATATATATATATATATATATATTCTTGAAAAATCTATAATTCCAATTAATTTCTGAAAGAGATGGATGGTGTTTTCTGCACCAGGGAACGCTGCAAGCTCCGTACCATCTTTACTTCCGGGTTACTGTTTTTAATGTATTTTAGAGCCATTTGGCTCACAACGTGATCATTGTGTTTTGAGATTCTCGCAAACATGGTATTTGATTACTTATTACTTGAGTTTACAATGCTAAAGGTGCTAACACTAACGTAACTTGGTGCACAGCTTGCAACAAGAATAAACAGTAATAAACAAAAGGAAAGAGGCGAAATCAGGACTGCCAAAAAAGCGAGTTTTTCAAAATCAGAACTATGTCACCTTTTTTAACAATATATCTATAATTAACTGAAACAAATATTCACTTCAAACTCACCAGAATTACTTAATAACATTAATATCTTATGAAATACGGCAGATTTGAGTTCAGAAATTATCTAATTTACTTCTTTATCTGAAAACAAAATTATTCGTTTGAAAATATCGCCTCGTAGAATAAGCTGTAGTAAGCAGTTGCAAACTTTCTAACCGGAACTAGAGCAGGTATTGAGCTCGAGATTGTTATTGTTTACATTTATATTGAAAACACACTCCATATACGTGTATTTGTTATCTGATTTATTATTTTTGTTAAAAAGAAGAATAGTTATAAAAATCGTCGTTTGAAGACTTGTCATTTCAATACATAAGAATTGTCATTTGATAAAAGAATAACTATAAAATGCTTCTTCCTTCGAAATTTAAATCTAAATGATAATTTGTAAAATAAACTTAATCTCGCTGCTTGAACAATATGCTAACAGTAACGTATAATGGTGTACGGCTTGCACTAAGAACAAACAGTAATAAACAAAAAAGGGGGCCAAATCAGAACTGTAAAAAAGCGAGTTTTTAATAAATCTAGGAAACATGTCACCTTTTTTAACAATATATCTTTAAATAACTAAAACAGAATTTCACTTTAAACTTACCAGAATTACTTAATATCATTATATTATAAAATACAACAAATTTGAGCTCAGAAATCATATAATTTTTTCTTTTATTAAAAACAAAATTATCCCGCAATGTATCGTAATGTATCAAATATCGTAAAGCAACGCTTCCCAGTAGAACACCGCAGTCAAGCATCACTGGATGCGGTCAGTAAGCGGTTAGGTCATAACTTTGAACAGCCTGTGTAGGGACCGAGTGTGCGCGGTATCAGTTCTCGTTAAATTATTCAACCGTAAAGTGCTCGACTTCACGCACAGGACGTCAGGCTAGCAAAGTGGAGGAACCATCTCCTCTTCAGAGGATCAAAATTGCGATAGATTGTCTTCGGATCATCCTCAGGGATGGTTCCCAGACCGTCGCCAATAGCCCATTGTGCAGCTCTAGTGCGACGTAAATAAAGTACCTACCTACCTGAAAACAAAATTATTTATTTGAATATATCGCCTTGCAGAATAAACTGTAGTGAGCAGCTGCAGACTCTCTAATCGGAAGTAGAGTAGTAGGTCAAGAGCTCGAGAATTTTGTTTACATTTATATTGAAAATACCATCCATTTTGTAATGTATTTATGCTGTTTACAATATGACATGTGCTATTTTCCATTTAATTTGTACATCCATTAATGACCCATTCTCAATACATGAAATATCCGAATAATCATACTCTCCTTCGCACGTCTAAACTCGCAGCCTCGGAAAGCGGACAGTGACGTCACTATTCACAGGAGTATTTGATAGTGAAACAAAATCCTGAACTCGCAACCCCTGAAGAGAGTGGGGAAGGGAATCTCGGTCCTTGATCCAAGGTTAGTCCCTGGTTTGGACATTCCTCCTAGGAAGTGATGTTATGTATGGATAGTCATAAGAAAGTGACTAATAGCTTTTGTTTATCCCTTAATCGTTCTGTCTTAGTTGAGGGTCGTGCTCTCGGAGTTCACAGAAGGGTGCGTTGTTTCTGAAAGGGGATGAATTCTCCTTTCATTTTGACAATTATGTAGTCTAAAATGAAATATGTATTTATTTTAATCTTTGATCCTTCTTCAAGAATTTAATTTGTAATATTTGTATTAAGTTTGTTTCCTTTTATAAGTGAATCGATTAACCTATAGTTACTAATAATTTGCGGGAAAAAAAAAGAAATATTCTTAAAATAAAAAAATAACATCTTTATTTTTAAAATTTTCGAATAATCATGCTTTGAATGTTTTCAAATAAGTGTAAGTGTGTTTGATTCATTTAGAAATTCCAACATAAAATTATGAAACTTAGAAATATATATATGNTAAAACAAACATAAAATATACTGGGGACATGAAAATGACTGTTTTTGTGAGAATGACCCATATATATCATCGAGTGCTTTAGCTTTAACGAACTAATAGTTAATAAAGGTTATTTAATTTGTCAAAATTTATAACTCATAATTTATGATTTTTTTATTTCAATGATTCAAAAGCATTTTATTATATTCGTGATAATTTTATTAAGTATAATTATTTTATTTTATAGTTGTAATTGATAAAATGCATAACTTTATACCACTAAAATCTTTTAATTTTAAAGGTAAAATAAATATCAAAACAACGTGTAATAGATAAGCTTTTAAAAAAAGGCCGAATGTATGAAATAAACTTTAAACTTGCTAACTTAAATTTTTTTGTTTTGTATTGTTAACTAGTTGTTAATTTACGTAGTAGCATTTTTTAAAATAATTCCTCATTTAAATAATCTGATCTTTTTTTTTTTTATTGAAAGTAAGAAAAAAACAGCTTTTCCCATTTTTCTCTTTCATGTTTATTACGACTCTTCCCCCCCCCTCCCGCAATTACGAACTTATACATTTTACAAAATGAATAAAATTAGTCGTTAGTTTTTCAAGTACAATTTTTTCTTCTCTTTTATAATATTTTTTAAAAATATTTTTTATAATAAATTACAATTTGTGAGCAGAAACAATACAATTTTTCTTTTCAAATTTAATAATTTATCTCTTTTTAGAAAATGTTTTTTTAATCGTTGTGTCTTATTGAACTAGATTTGGAAAAAAATTCTCTGCAATTAATCTTTTATCTTTTATTACCCTCCTATATTGAACCCAATTCAGAAAACAAGGATGTCAAGTAGTTGCACTTTATTTGTCACTTACAGATTTCATGTTAGAGTTTGTTGTCGTTATAGCTTTAAGGCCTATTCGT